GCCGTTTTTGCAGGACAAATTGCTGGAACTAAGGGTATATGAGTGGGGCTAAATAAACTACTTTCGCCGAAATACCTTTCTTTATAAAAATGCCTAAAACACAAAATACAAATCAACTAGTAAGCAGGTTCCTCTGCGCGCGTTGAAACGCCATGCTCTTTGAGTCTAAAATAAGTCCACCGAAATACCTGGAAGGTGCGAATATATACGCGGGTGCCTTAGAAGAGCCAGTATCGAACGCTGACTTCTTGCAAAATGAATACGGATGCGAGAAAAAGCATAACGGTACTGGAAATAGAACATTAATAAAACATTTGTTACGATTTAGACCAAGACAAGCCAAAGTGATGAGCACTCAAGTCCCCCATTGATGAACGTTCTCCGATCGATAATGTAACTCACTAATCCCGCCCTGCCTTGGGGCTCTTTCTGTGCCGTCGTCTAGGCAGTAAGCATTGTCGGCAAAGACAAGGGAGACTGGAAAGGTCATTTTGGGCTCACCAGCTATCATCAGCCAGTCATATTCCACCCCAACTGGTGCACCACCCGGATAGAGCGTTAGAATTCTGGTTAAAAAGTCACGGGTTCGAACCTCGGGTGGTGCACCACTTGGAGCGGGGTATGACTGGCTGATGACGGCTGGTGAGCCCGAAATGTCCCTTCCAGTCTCTCTTGTCTTTGTCGCCAATGCTATCTACTCCAATTTCCTTTGTCTTGTCGGGACTCTTTGTCTAATTAATTATTTCTCCTCACCCTATCCCTCGATCTCATGGAGGTCTCCATCATGTGTTTCAATTTAGAATCAACGTCGCCTCCTCCCCGTTTAATCGTGGCAGGTCAGTCGGCATTTCAGCAAATGTTCACCTTGCGTCCCATACAGCAGATGTTTCCTTGGAAGCTTATCTTTGGGCGAACCGATTTCGAAGTGAGATGGAAGAAAGCGACACAGACGATGGCTGACTTGAAATTCGTTGATGAACTTTCACCTACCGCTAACGAATCTTGCTTGTCTCGCTCTGTCCTGCATTGGACCTCATTTCTCGGGTCTGACATCAGCCATAGCAGCTAT